CTAGAGCTGGGGGGTTTGAACTTTACAACGGATGATGTTGGTGATGTTCTTTCAATATCAGGTTTATCCTTGATGACAATGAATTTCCAGATATATACATTACTGTTGTAAATTGGACTTACTTACTTCCTAACCTTCCAACCCCAAACATTATACATACATAACCGCTTGCATGAGATCCTATATACTATGCATATCATGTAATCCAATCTTGTTGAGTAAACTTTTTGGCCAAAAAAAAAAAATCTTGTTGAGTAAATTTCAGTTATTTAATTTTCAAACGTTGGTAACTAAAGAGTAAGATGCTTTTAGACGATTACCTGAACTTTGGTATTTTGTTGAGAAAATTTTGATGAAGTTTCTTTAGTAGTGTTTCTTATCAACTTCTTCAAAGAAAACATAACTTGCAGTGCAAATTTTAAAAGCGTCAATCACGTAGTGCTAAACTATAAATCAAATTGTTTGATAAAATTGTTTTTGACTGAACCTCTTTTATGAATGTAGATTTGTTCAGACTTCCTTGATACTCATACAAGAAAAATCAGCAAGTACAACATATATGAAAAATTCAACTAGTTTAAGATAGAAAGATGTGCACTTCAATGATATAATGTGTTTTTCTTGCTTCCCATGTATTGATGTATTTATCACGTAGAGATTATGCTGATTAGCATTGAACATTGGTCAACTGGTTAGGATTTGCTCTTTTGCTCTGTCAAATCTTCCTTTATTCACCTATGGAGAAAGCATTTGGACCCATTAATCTTGCTCGCATTGCAGCGGTGAGCTTTCACTATCATGCAATAGTTACTGTGATGCAGCATTTTCCTTGTCAGTATTTTTTAATCTCTACCATTTTTTGGGTACCACGTGCAGGCTTTATCCATCCCTCTCTTGCAAAGTTACCCTTTCATAGCGATGTTATCTGGCTTCACACTGCATCTAGTGATAACTATTGCTTCCGTCTTTATGTTATGTTTCCCTGTAAGTGCATCTGTTTCTTGATTTCACCAACCAGATTGTTACATCGAGGGGTTAAGGTGAAGTAAAATGGCTGGCATAGAATAATCTTTATAGGTTGCCAGAAAATTAACACAATAAATTGTAGTTGCTTGTATAAGTATCATGTAATGGCATGTCGTGTCTAACACAAGTTTCTGATTGTTTGACGATGATGCAACTCCTCTTTTGAAGTGTTCATGCTTCATAAGTTGTACTTTTTCAGTATAAAAGAAAAGGAAAAAATAGAGAGAAGAGAAGAAGGCGATTGTTGTCTTAACATGTAACAATGCCAAAAACAGCATACTATCTCCTTCACGAAACATATATCTACATAATGATCTTCCTGATTGTTAATTTTTTTCTTTGCCAGACAATAATTGATACCAGTTTATTCCTTTTGCAAAACAGAGCAGTGGTAAATTCTTCATGTTCAGTTCATTATTTAATGTTACTTTTTTCTTCCTTATAGAAGTTATGAGATCATCATGATTGAGTTGGGCTAATATGGTTGTTGATTGGGGAAAAAAAGGAACAACACCAAAGAGGAGCGGCTAATGGTATTGCTATGACAGCTATGTCACTTTTCAAAGCAGTTGGCCCTGCTGGAGGTGGAGCAGTGTAAGTGTGCATTTATTTCTTTTTCCCTGTTTTGTTTTTTGAATGGATTTTCATTTTTAGCCCCAAAAAAAAAAAAGTGCTAACATAGGTTAGCTCAATATCGGTTGGATCAAGCCACATTGACCAAACGGTCTGTGGTTTGATTTCTTCCCCTAATGATCTATGATCTGCAATCCTATGTTGGTAGTCATATACCAAGTTCTCTGCATGTTGCCTTGGAGCTAGAACAGCTTATTTACTTTTTTCGTCAACCAAAAGGTTTTTATTTCACCAAAAAATAAAGAAAAAAAATTGTAAATGTGAATTGGTGGGAGGTTTTCATTAATTAACCTGAGACTCTATGGGTGATTTTAAGTCCAGAAGTTTTTTACCGTTGATGTTCTATGTATAATCTGTTAGATTGATCTGATTCTTATCTGTCTGAAAGTTGCTAGGTTCTTTTATCATATTTCTAAAAGTGCCAGTTCAAACTTTCTGTTGTTTAAGGAGAATATATCTTAAAGGAACAATCTTGGTCTTCTTTTGCTTGGAGAGTTTTTAGAGGTTATAATGAAAATGGAGAAACACATTTCTGTTAACATGCCTTCTCCATAACATGCAAATGCAATATTTTATGGTAGTGTTTGGATTGACAGATTTGGATTTAAATTTTATATTTGAAATCTTATATTTTAAATTCATGTATTTAAAATCTTTTGTTTGTGTAGTTTAAAAATTTTCAAATAAAAAAGATAGATGGGTTGAGATTCAAAACAAAAATGAAAAATAGAAAAAAAGTTTATCTTTATTTTTTAATAGACAAGAGACTAGAATGAAATATAAGAAAAAAATATGAAAGTTATAGAGACATTAATAGTGGAAACACGAAGAGAATGACATGTTTGAAGTGACTGAAATTTCAAGTAACTAGGGTATAGAGGAAATTTGAAATTACAAAGAAATTGCAACAAGAAATGGATTTGAATTTGAATTAAAATCCAAATTCATGAATTTTGTTGTATCTAAATGAGGGATTTAAACTAAATCCAAATTCAAATCTAAATTCTTATTAATCCAAACGTGCCATAAAACTTATCTGTAGTTCACTAATTACGATCTTGGTCGATGCAGATTAACTTGGTCGCAAAAGCGGTTAAATGCTTCTTTCCTTCCGGGTATGGTGCTCATTTAATCTCTTTTGTGCTGCACTCTGTTTCATATTCTGTTTCAAAACTTGAAAGAGTGAGGGAAAATGCTTAGGTACATTGCTTTTTTGATTTTCGAGATAAAGTTCTTGAATGAGAAAATAAAATGCATACATTTTTTACTACTCAACACCATGTCATGGAATATGGCATGCATCTCTTATTTTATTATTAATTAACACCGTACACATCTTCCTTTCTTGTAAATCCCATCCATATTTACTGTAAAACTATGGTGAAAAAAATATCTAAGTTAATCCGTTGTTAATTGAGTGTGTTGTGGGCCTGTTGACAGTAGTGAAAACTTTTTGGCGGTGCACCTCTGCCTAGGTCTGAGGCTTGGGTCACTTTTTCTGTTTGGTTTGATTTATTTTTTTTAATTGTTATTTTGCCTATTAAAATACAAATTAATGAAAAATAAATAAATATAAGCATAATTACATTCAATTTTATTAAAATCTTTCCCAATTAGGACCTGACATGGCAGGCACACAAGTTAATTGGTGGTAGATTTTTTTTTTTTTTTTAATGATCTGCCAGAGAAAGTTATTTGTTAATGAAGAATCATGAGAAGCTTTATTTTGTCTCAATAGTCTTAACTTTTTCAATAAAGAGCCACTTCATATTTAGGCATTTGATCCCCCCTCATGTCTCTATTCCTTTTTTAATTAGTCTTCTAATCGCTTAATGTCCCGTGCAATGCGCGGGCTAAAAACTAGTTTTTTCTTATTTCTCACATCTCTTTAATAGTAAAAAAAAAAAAAAGAAATCCGCATGGAAATGCACCAGATCCATTCCCATATGTCTTGACTGCATATATTAGAATATCCATCCCTTGTGTTTCATAGAAGTAGCTCAGTAGCTGCAATTCTGTAAGCTTACTAACGTTGGGACATTTAACCACAGGTACTCATTTGGTGTTTTTTGTGCTGAACCTAGTGGAAGCACTGGGCCTGCTGATGATGTTCAAACCATTCCTGGCTGAGAAAAAGACAACCCCATCACAGCGGTCATAATGATGTTAATAACATGTTTCATAACCATGCAGTGATGAAGCAATCATCAATCCTGAGATATTTTTGTGAAGGGGATGCTACTGGCTAATTAATAGGACCAATATATATATATATATATATATGCATGCATGCATGTACCAGCCTTTCCTGCGGATTTCTGGTATGTTGTTGGTCATTCCATTAGAGGTGCACATAGGCAGGGTTGGGTTGGACAAGACCCTGCCCGATGCCCAGCCTGAAGAATGTTTTGCAGCCTGATGCCCAGCCCTACCCGTAAAAATACTCTATTAATTTGGGTTGGGCAGGGCTAGTTGGATAACTTTGGACCGCTTAACCCATCAAATAATTGCACTGCTCATAAAATCACAACCCTTTTGATTATTTCAAAATAAAACTATCACAAATCAACAATAATAACCCTATACATCAATCAAAATAGCATCCATAAAATCATAAATTATAAATTCACAATAACAGCCACAATATCCAATTATCCATAATTCGACATCTAATTTGAAATCTAAAACTACCACAAGTCTTGACACAATATCAATTTATCCATAATTCAATTCAAAATAATAGCTATAATCTAAATAACAAAAGCTTGGAGCATCATATGAGAAATAACAATTTTAAAGAATAGGCTTCAATTTACAAAAAGCCTCTTCTCAATTCTCAACTTGCATGAATGGAAGAGGAAAAATGCGTCATAACTAAATAAAAAAATTGTAAGAACATACATGAAAAATTAAAGCAAAATGGAAAACAAAATATGAGAGAATTAACAATAATATATAAGTTTGTTAAAAAAATTAACAAGAAATCATAGAAAAGTTTGCAAGAAATTAATAAAAAAATTAACAAAAAAATTATAAAATATTGGGCTGGGCTAAATGGGCAGGGTTGCATAACTTACCTGCTGCCCAGCCCTGCCCGCACATTGCTCAGCCCAGACATGTATAGAATTTTTTGTGTTTTTTTTTTGGGTCGGGCTGGACATACCGGTAATTGGGTATCATAAACACCTCTACATTCCATGATGTTTTGGGTTTGAGACATGGTACACCGACATACGAACATATATAATTTTATGTATTGTCTCTCTCTATGGCCCTGCCTTTTGAAACCAAGAAAAGTTTTTTTCTTTTTTTTTTTGGGGGGGGGGAATTGAAAGAAGATTCATTTGCTTTCTTGAGTTGGAGTGGAAATCGTGGTGGCTTGGTAATGTTTGTCATGAGTCCAATCTAATGTTGTCCATTAATGGCTATTTATGTGTATTTGTTTTTGGGCAAATTGATTGTTGTTTATGATTGTAGCAACTTGGCCATTGGTTTAATGAAATGTGCTGTTTTGAATGAAATTTGAATCTCAAGTGATCAAATGCTTCTTATGTACAAATTTGATATCCGAAATTAATAGGTCAAATTTATGTAAATAGTTTTCTCAATATGATTTATTTTTATATACAGTTTGAATCATTGACATTGCTTAAGAGAAATTGAGTCTCTTTCACTTGACCTAACTACTATTGAATCTTATACATAAAAGAAGTGAATTGAATATGTTAAGGATTGTCCTTTGTTATGATATGAGATTAGTTTCTTGCAGCTCACTTTCAAAATCATTTTTGTTAATTAAAAACCAAGAATCTCTTGGCTTGTGTTTTATTCATTGCAGCAAGGTGGGAGATCATGTCATTTGACCTACAGCTCATTGGCGATGATATCGCATCTCCTTTAAATGGGAGAAAGTTGGGAGCGGGGGGGATTAAAGCCCTACTGTACTGTTGAGCATTGACAAGCTCTAAAAAGCATGAGTGATAGTTTTTTTTGTGAAGAGATAAGCGGAATTAAAAAAAAAAGACAATTCATTAAATAAAAACAAACGTAACAAAGTATAACTGTTGAACCCTAATTTTAATCATTATAAAATAAAAGAAGTTTATATTTTACAAGATCAATAATCAAGAATTAACAACTTGAAAGGGAATGATTGTCTTTATTTTAAATTATGGCTCTCGAATCTTATTCTCATATAGGTATATCATTATTACCAAATATGCATTTTATTCTCAAGTAATGAAGAACCACTTAATCAATTCTTGTTTATACTCATATTGTATTTCTCTCTAAAAATTAAATATTTGACTTGATATAATTTTCTAAGGACCATTTGTATTACTTAAAAGGTATTTCAATTGATCTTGAAATCAAAAATCAAAATTCTGAGCTATGATACATGGATATTGATATGTGTATCAGATACAATACTTTGATACTTTGATTTTTAAAAATAGAGGATACCATACATTTTCTATTAGTGCATAGGTGTATATATATATATATAATAAATATTAAAAATATAATTTTAATTTTAAAAATATCCAAAATAGCATACATATTTAGTCTTATAAAATAATATCAAGTAAAACATAATTGTTAATTGTACTTTCATTAATTGGACTTATAATTTCTCACCTAAGATTTAAATGCCAAAAGATTATATTCTTACATTGTTATAATTAAAAAAGTATAATTTTTATCTTTTTATTGTATCTAAAATTTTTTTAAGGAAAATCTAATATCTGATTTTAAAAGCAAATCACAAAAATATATTGGGAATAAAAAAATTAATATCACAATATTTAACAAAATTTAATTTTTAAAAAATAATTTTAAAGTATTAACTTGCAATCTAAAAGTATCGAATACACATGAAAAAAAAAATTAAAAAATAATATTTCAATACTCTACATGTACGTATCGAAGAAGTATGGGAAGTATTAGTATCAAACACAATACTGATATAGATATGTGAAACAATTTAAAGTATTGATACTTCATAGATTCTAAGAACTTTTATGAGTTGTCTGTGTCGTAATCCTTATTTAAAATAGTTTCTTTATTGTTAGTTATTTCCGAACAATTTTTGAAATAAGGATCTTCAAATATATGATCCTTACTTCAAAAGAGCCTTCTCTGCATTCTTGTTAAGCTGTTCTTCACTATTTAAAAATAAGTTAGTCAGCTTATTTCCAAATAAGCATGAAGTTTCATGCTCTGCTTTCATGTCTCTTTTTGAGCAACTTTGAAGCTTCATCATTTCTTATTATTTTCATCTTCTAAAAGTTGTGTTAGTTATTTTATAATCCTAAAAACCTTTAAAACATAACTTCAGATTAGATTAAATACTTATTGATCTTATTTTAAAAATTTTTTATTCTCAAATAACTTTGTTCTTCTGAAATAAGCTCTTACCTACATTGTTAAAATATTATTATAAAGAACCGTTATTTCTTTACTTATTGAAAGAGAGAAACTTCGCCATAAGGCACTATACAATTGCCTCTTTTCGGAGAAAGCTTAAAAGAAAGAAGATGAAAACTCCAACTATCATATTCATAAATCTAGTAGATCATTTATGAAGCACAACTAAATTGAAGCATTTATGAAGATAGTGAATAAGAATGCACACAAATGAGCAATGCAAGTTACTTCATTTATGTTTTATCAATTTTTTAAGTTTGTATTCATTGAGCTTAAAGAGAATATTTGATAGAAGTAATTCATTTTTAAACTTACTTTGTTTGTTTATTTTTTTTTTTGTGGAACAAAGTATCTTAAATTCTAGAAGTTTAAGAGAAATAAATTATTGTCTTTGTAAGGGGAGTAATTTAGACTTTAGTATAAGTCTGAAATTATATTAAGACTACCAAAAGCGCAAATTAACCCTAGTAAAGTTAGTGGAAAAAATCTTAAGTAATATTTGAAGGCATAGGCTTGAGTAGTTATGACTGAATCAGGATAAATAATCTGTGCAAGCTTTTCTTTTTACTCTCTACTATATTTTGGTGACTCATCTCTTTAAATTTATTATTAACTAAATTTTTATAAAACTCGATTTAGCCCCCTCTTAGAGCGGAATCTTAGTAACTTCACTTCATATGAAAGTGAAGATATGTACTCCCTCCATTTTATTTTACAAACATTTTTTAAAATCAAGTTGCCAATGAAATGAACTAAATATATGTTAAACTTCAACCCCCCCAAAAAGCAAACTTGTAAAAAATATTCTTTATTATTTAATAAGAGTAATAGAGAGAGAAAGAGATATTTAATGAACGCAAAAAAAGGAGAGACAATTTTAGAATAAATTCACTAATAAATATTTGTCTTTTTTTAAATTATATCATGGAAGCTTCTTATAACTAACGATGTTCAATAGCCGGTTGCGCGAGATTATGAAGTTCCTCGTCCAGAATAAAGCTCATCGCAAGCACGCAATGACACAAGGGTTCTCCTCATTGGGATTCTCTTCACCCATACTATGAATTGAGTGTGTGTTTAATTTTTAATTTATTAAAAAAATTTTAGTAAAAATTTATTTAATAAAATTAATTTAATAAAAATTAGTTGTTGTAATGAAATTGTGTTTCATATATTTTTTTTAAAAGTTAGTTTGATATATTAAAAGTTGTTTAGATTATAATAATAAAATGTGCTTTTGAACGTACAATTATTAAAAAGGTCCTTCTCATTGAATTCTCTTCACCCATACTATGAATTGAGTGTGTGTTTAATTTTTAGTTTATTAAAAAATTTTTTAATAAAAATTTATTTGATAAAAATTAATTTAGTAAAAATCAGTTGTTGTAATGAAATTTGTGTTTTCATATATTTTTTTAAAAGTTAATTTGATATATTAAAAGTTGTTTGGATTATAATAATAAAATGTGTTTTTGAATGTACAATTATAAAAAAATATTTATTTATAATGATTTATAATTTATTATTTTATTATACAAATATAATATATTTAAAATATTTTAAAAATATGATAAAGATTTTAAAGAACATAAATTTGATCTATAATGCTAAAAACTTAATATCTAGTTATACTTTTTAATTTATAATTTTAAACAATGTGATAAAGATTTATAATTTTTATTATACATGAATGCTAAAAATTAACATGATTAATTATTTAATTTATAATACTAAAAACTTGATACCTAATTATTATTATTAAAATAATAAATTATATTTAATGAATTAACTATTTTTTAAATAAAAAATAATAGATTAAACTTGAGATAGTATAATACATCCTACTTTTTAAATTTATTTTTTAAAAACTTTAAATAATATATTTTTTATATTCACT